TGTAACTGAATGATAGATGCTGTCTTATTCTGGAGTTATTACTCATTTGATAAAAACATGGCTTTACATGTTGCTCAAGACACAGTCGAATAAAAGATTTATAGTGGCTGACTTAGTTAGTAGTGAGTTGTTCTTCTGAAAGGTGTTCAAGACTAATGATCAGGACTTCTGTCTTGGCAAAAATAAATGACAAAAATAAGTACATCCAGTCTTTTACATTATCTAAACGGTTACGCTATGACGTCAGCTTGCTAAGGTCAGAAGGTTTGAATTCCCATCTCGTATGGGAGTCGTATTTGTGCGTCATTGCTGCAAACATGCTGTAAACCTCCACACAATCTGCACTTTTTTCATATTGAATGCACAGTGTGTAATAAATCTAAGTGTGTCTAGAACAGCACATGAAATACCACTCAGGGTCTGTCAGGTGAATTTAAGAAAATTAATCCTATGACCGCGTTTAGATTTTTCACCTCTATGGTTAAAGAGTAACTACAACCAAAACACATGTATCTATTATCTTCTATTTATTACTTGTTTAGCATAAAATGAAACAATTATAGTCATTTTGTCAACAGGTAATCACATGTGACCCTTATATTTAGTCAGGCTTACAAGGACCCAGACTCACTCTTTTCACTGTCCTGAAAAATCAACCATCCCTAAACTAGTGCAAAACATTGTTTACTTTGCTATTGTCACCTATAAGGGTTTATTTGCATAAAACACATTTTTAGGAAATAAATGATTGTATTTTGTATTAAAAAATAAATCTCGGCGCTAGTAGTTTTAATTATGTATCATAAGTTTGCTTTAAGCTAGTGTTAGGAAGTTAAACAGGTCACAATTCTCTCTCTAAAATGTTATATTTCTGTGAAAACACTTCCTTCAAACAAATGTATTTATTCATGCGTCTGGCAAAAAAATACATTTTACAAGATTACATTTGAACACAACACTCATCACAGCTTTATAATCTACTTTCCCCCAATACACATTTTTACTGGAATTGAACACGGACGACGTGGTGTGTGTGTGTGGCTGGGATGTTACCGTCTTCGCCGCTGTGTGCTGTGTGCCAGTGCAAATGTTCGTATACCTGTGAAAAGTAATGCGATATACTCTGATACAACCCACGATATCAATTTATATGCAATCCGTGTAAGAGTGAGCCAAGCCAGGGAACATAATATACATTGTCATTGCGATCATGTTCGCATGCCCGAGTACACCCTCAGAGAGCAAGCACATCTGTTGACGCTTAGTCTTGTTTGCTTGTGCGTTTTGTTGAAAACAGTCTGTCTTTCTGTCATGTAATGTGAATGCAAGACAAACATTTGAGAGGACTAGTTTTTCCAGAACAGTAACTCAGTATTCTGTTGTGTCCTCAGCCATCGTGCTGAAGCTCTAAAGGCCGGTCAGTGACATCATAAAGGGGCAGATATGGAGGAAGATGCCGTTTCCTTTCTGATGCTTCAGATGTAAAAGTAGAGTTTAGTTTCTTTTTTGATAAAAGAAATCTGACCAAAAAATGTCTGCTTTGCACAGTGGATGTACGGTGCATGTTCATGTAGAATGTGTCTCAATGTGGTCATATACCTGAGACATATTTTTATACATTTTACAACACAGGCCTTTAATAGATAACCCATAACTATAAATCTCTATTAGTTTAAAAAGCTGCAGACTGTTTGTGAATCATTCCGACTGAAAGCTGTGACATCTGTTTTTTTTAATATCACAGATGTAAGGGATAACCGCGGCAGAAGAGCAAAACACAACTTCCTGATAGATCTTCTGATAGAGATGCTGATGAGGTTTACTCATACAAACTCAAATCATCTCTTCTCTTTGCAGCAGGACTGGACTCTTATAGACTCCTCTCTTTCTGTTTGTTTCTCTTGTTTTCTGTTTGTTTCCCCCCTCTCCGTGTGTGTGTGTGTGTGTGTGTGTGTGTGTGTGTGTGTGTGTGTGTGAGAGGAGATACATTTTTAATGTGTTTTATGCTTTTGTTCTTGCTTGTTATTGAGGCAGAAGGTTTAGCAGACATAAGGGAAAACCTTTCCTCCACCACCTGATTTTTGCAAAGCTGTGAACCAATTGTTCTGTTAGTTGTATACATTGTGTTATTAGACCTGCATTCAGTTGGCACTTTATTACGTACACCTAGCTGAAGATAATGCAGTCTAATATAACAACCCTTTAATAAATCATATGAGGGTAAGCTCACTATTAGAAGCACTTAAGGCAGTACAGTTCAGCAGCACAAACTACAGCATCCAATATGTCCATGAAGATGAATCAACGACTTAAAAAACACTTAAATTGTAACATTTATTTAAGTATTATTCTTTGCTGAGCTGCTGTATTTGACTAATTTAGTTTTAATAAAGTGGCAACTGTGTGTATATTAAATCATTACATGCATATAAAGTCAATACAAATGGATGTAGAATTGCATCAGTGTATGCTGGTGCGTATGTCTCTAGTTAGCTATTGTTAGCTAGCTACCAGCTAACAAGAACTGCAAACGCATTCTGGTGGTTAACTTTAACGAAGTAACGTGAGGTTAAAAGTAACTTGTCGTTCATTCTGCGTAAACCCTGAACATTGTTTTGAAATAAAAAATAAAAAAACATACACAACATTAAAAACATATTCTTAAGTTGATGTCACAGAACAGATGAATGAAAGAAAGCAGAAATGTCCTCATGATAACTTTTAAAAGAATGAAGAAAATAGATGGATTTTGTAAATATATCAAAAGGGGTAAACGGTTTGATCTGAGATTTATCTGGTAATTGTAGACTGGAATGCCAAAAAAGTAAAAACGGTGAAGAATATGACCATGTACACGAGTAGGACCCATGAATGAGATTGAAAGAGCCGATTCAGTGTAAATAAAACTAAATCATGAGCCTTTGGGATTGACGGTCAGTAAATGCAAATGTTAAAATCGCCTTGAATTAAAGGATGATCAGATTTGGGAACAATAAAAAGACAAGAAGTGAGAATTGGTCAATAAAAACCTTATGTGCACTGAGTGTAGGGGGAATTGGGCTTATAGAGCTTAGCACAGACCCTTTTAGAGAGTGGAACAAAGGAGAGCGATTGGAACTGTTGCCTCCAGAGACACTGGATCAGAGAACGCCATGACTGGGGCCGCACAACCACAAACCACTGCACTGGTTCGACTGTATGTCTGGAACATCATTTCCATTAATAGCGGAGGAATTTCGGTCAACAATGACGTAAAAAGTCCTTATTAGCCGAGAGGCATTTTCCACACATGCGTATATCCATTATGTCTTGCAGCGAGCCGGAGCAGAGTCGATTCCAGATGAACGGTTTCGTGATTTAGTGAACTGATCACTATGATGCGGTAGTGGATGCAGTACTGTACATCTACACTAATTGCTGGGTGGTCTAAGGAGAAGAAACATATAGCAGATGAGTGTAATAACTCACATTGTGTGCATTCAAAGACGGAGGAATTGGCAGCCGGTCGTCACATGGGCGATGTTGCTTGGATATTTTTTTACCGGCTGCGACCGCGATGCCAGTATTGTTTTGCACCCTGTGAGTCACTGGCGCTGGTGTGATCTCATCGTAACAGGGTCTCTAGTTGTATGCCATGTGTTTTTATGAATTAATTCAGAATCAAATGGTCCAGCACGACTAAGAACACGAACGCACATAATTTGCTACTTTGTTCCATTTTATTTCGTTCTGTTTTGTTGGTGACTGTGAGTCGTACTGTTCTCTGTCGTCAGCTGACCGAGCTGCTTTTAACGGTTTCACCCTCAGGGAACCATGACTGACTGAGTGATCACACTGCAAACCTTCCTGGTTTTCCACCAGTGACAGCAGATCAATGAGCTCCACCCTTCCCCATTGTCTAAATCCGACCCTCAAACCCTCAGAGGGGCTTCATCAAAGCCAGGACTGATGGATGCTAAATGTGTGAGAGCAAGAGAAGAAAGAAAAACACAATACATCTTTCAGTTTACTGTCATGTGGTGCCAAAGTGTCCAATTAATGGAAGCCTGAGTTATGAGGACTGCTTTGTAGACCTTGTTAAAGGACCAGTGTTTTTCTTCACATACTCAACGTTACTCTGGCCCATTTCTGCAAACCTTTGCATATTGGTTTCACTTCATTAATCCAACACAGAGAAGCTCATTTTTGCTTTTGTTGTCAAAGTTATCAGCGTGGCAATGCATTTGTTAAATTATACTGTCGTACTATCTTTGCTTCAGTCTGGTTGGTGAATAGTGTCTCTGATTCTCACCGTACTGTCTGAGGTCAATGTGAGGAGATCACAGCTCCTAGTTATTCACTGTCCTCACTGTAATAAGGCACAGTGTTAGTGCTTCCTCTCAGCTGAGTGAATTAGAGTCTTGTGATCCTCTTTCTAAATATACCACATGTAGCCATGAGGCAAACAGACCCCAGACTACAACTCACTAGATACGGGATCACTTGGTTCAAGAATTTCACATGAAACCACATTCCTTTTTCTCTATTGATCTCCACTGACTGATGCTCAGGTACACTCAGTTTACGATGCACTTTCTCTTCAGCACCTTTGACAAACCTGATGTTCTTGTAGTACATACAATTTTCTACTGCTTTCGCATACTTGAATATATAGGCACACTCTAGTTCCCACCCACACTATGATCACACACACACACTCACGCAGTAACCATTTTCCCAGAAAGTCCTGTCCTGGATAGGGCGACCCTTTGACCACACTTCCATAATTCAACAGTGGGTAAACAATTCGCGCATCACGTGTGTGTTTTCTATTCATCGGCTTGTTTAACTTCTCAAACATCTGATGCCAGTGTTAGTTTCTGTGTCCAATTTCGTCTTTTCTTCTATTTTTATTCATCTCTCATCACCTTACACAGCCTGCCTATAATTAACTTAACTTTGGCTACGAGTTTCTCTGTGGGTTATGTATGTTAACATGCATCTCTGTCTGTTTACCACAGGTTTATTGCGGGCATCACTATGACTGATGGGGATTATGACTACCTTATAAAGCTCCTTGCCCTGGGGGACTCCGGCGTGGGCAAGACCACCTTCCTGTATCGATACACAGACAACAAGTTCAACCCCAAGTTCATCACCACAGTCGGCATCGACTTCAGGGAAAAGAGAGTGGTAGGTTCTCATCTCTTACAGGACTGCAGCTGGCAGTTATTTTAGTTATTGAGTATTCTACTATTATTCCATCGATTAATCGAGTAATCTGATAAAAATATATATTTTTGCTTTAATAAGGAGCAATACTAAATATACAAAGAGAGAAAATAAGACCGAACAACTAATTTGTTCTATGAAAAAAGATTACACCCTGGGTTTTGAGGCTCCAGAATTGTTTCATCGACGTACAGGAACAGTCTGGAAAATGATTTAATCAGGCCAAGTCAAGGTAAACAGTCAAAAAGTCTAAATATTAACCTTTTACCTTTTTATGGTCATCTATAGTAGATATTTGCATGAAAACACACAATTCAAATTAGCAGGAATATAAATAAATACAAATATTTTAAGTTCAATAATTTTGATTAAAATAAAATCTTATTAGTAGTTTTAATGATGTATTCTAAGCTTCTTGGAGCTGGTGTTAATAAGTTAAACAGGCCATCATCTGTCTCCATCAGTGGTGGGCCGTCAGGGCCTGCAAGGCCTTCTCTGCTGGCCTAAACAGAATCACAAAGTTATATCTATTTTATAATTTAACATTTTTTCTTAAATACACTACATGTATTATAATTTATGAAAATATTTTTCCCATTATCTTATGTTCTCATTGCACAGCTACTGTCTTCCTCAGTTGCTCTGCTTCCAGTGCAGCTTGTGTTAAGTAGAGCTTTTATCCAATCAGATTTCACCTCTGTGTCTCTTGGTAAGAACAGAGGCCACAGGCCTGCAGACTCACAAGTGCATCCCTTTGCAGTTTAAGTGAATGGGGACGATATTGTTGATTGTCATATTCTTCAACCAATCAGATCTTTAGTTTAACATGTTGGGCGTATTCTTTGACGTGTCAGAGCCTGCTAGCTGGCCTACAAGTACGTCAGCATTACGTGCAGCTCAGTTTTCAGGCGCAGCTCTGCAGTGAGGTGCAGCGTGTGCTGTGATTGGTCAGTGGGCGAACACGTGACTATTGTGAACCGAAACTTAAAGTAGCCATCAGAGGCTTAGTTGGAGTAGTGAGAGTTCAAGTTGAAAGATATGGAAGAAATTATGACATTTTTTGCATTTTGCTTGGTGTAGATTATTATTTTTTACCTGGCTTTGTTTTTTTAACACTCAATGGCTGAAGGAGGAGAAACGGATTTGTGAGTTGGGATTTAACCGGATTAAACTCTTAGTCAACAAAGAAAGGAGGATGGAGTTTGTCTTTAAGTCAACTGGTTTGTTTTTTTTACATCCAATATCTGAATGGCCCTCCAGTGTGTAGCAGAATGCGTGTTACTGCTGTTTTCCCGTTAAGCTAGTTTAGCGTAGCCTTGTGCGGTCCCTCAGCTGCTTTTTGTTTTGTATTTTTTTGTTCCGGTTCAGAGGTCACACAGCCAGTTGTCTCCTACGTGAAAACATTATATTTCCCACAATTTAAGCTGTGGCGCCATCATGAGGTTATTAGGAGGTGTTTCAGCTGCAGGACAGCAGTGAAGGCCCAGCTATAACATGCACAACCCGCCACTGGTCTCTATCTATCTTGTATTCAGACAACTGTATTTCTTTGAGTTTCTCGCCAAACATTTTACACGATTGCATTCGAACGCATCATGATATCATTATATTTGACTTGTATATATGAGTATATATACTCAGAAAATTATTTTTGGTGGAGTACCACTCTAGACTGTCACTTAGACCTGTTGAAAAGCTTAATTCCTGTTGCTCATATCTCATCAGGGTAAATACACGGAGATCTCCAAGTGTGAGATGCAGAAATCTGAATCAGAGAGTGGGCCAGGCTCGGTTTGGTCAGATGTGTGGTCACCTTGGTGCTATTCTGCCTTCGCACTGACAATGCTGCCTTAATCGCGTGTGTGTGTGTGTGTGTGTGTGTGTGTGTGTGTGTGAAGATCACACCCCATGTTCAGGAGTCAAGACTGGAAACATAAACGGACACGTATGATCACAGCTGTAGCTCAGTGCTGTCAGGGGCTCCTCCTAGGGGCTTTCTAAATGGAGACTGAAGATGAATGTTGACCCGTTTGTTTATCGTGTGAGCCTTTCAACCAGAATTGACAGTTCTGATGAGCCGTAATGAAGCAAAATCTCCAGCTGCTGTAAACTGAGCTAAATATAGTGAACATATCAGCTGAATATGATGACCAGTCTACACTTAATTTCTTCTGCTGGGCTTTACATTATCAGTAGCTTATTGTGGCTTTTTGTATTCTTCTGATACTTATTATTGTCTCTGCAGTAAAAAGTTAAATGCGTGTTTTACAAGATTATTCAGCTTGAAAAAATAAGATAAAATCATCCTTAAAATAAGATATTATGACTAACTTGAATTGCACCTGCATTTCAACTGACACCAAATAGTCAGTGCGACCATCGGAGAGTTTGTTTACGTATTCTTTGATGGAGTAACTGAGGATTTGCATCCTTTGCATACGAGAAGTTTAATTCATTTCATGAAATGAAAAACAAAAAGGTATGTTTTGCTGAAAAATTGGATTACGTTCAGCAAAAATGTGCAGTTGTGGCCCAAACTCAACGTCGGAATCCAGCAATCCTCAGCTCCGATAACAAGCTGCACCAGCTCCACTACAGAGGACTCGCACTGTCAGACGTACAGGTGTCATCCTTTTCCCTCTGACTTGAAGTCAGTTATTACCTAGAAAACTGAACTATAAGCACTGTAGAGTTCATCCAACCGCTCTGAGTGTGATTGGCGTGAACGCAGCTCTGAAAGAGAGCGAGTGCCTCGTCTGGGAAAGTGAGAGGTGTGAATGACGCCCGAGGCTTCCTGCGGAGACACGAACGCAACCGGCTGCAGCTCACAAGAGTTCATCATTACAGCGTCACGGTCATTGTACAGACGATTCATTATTTTATTTTTTATTATTACATGCACAATTCAGGAAGACTAAAACGTGAATACAGGTTATCCCGGGCAGCTATGGACTGTGAGAAGCAGACATCCAGTTCAATAGTTGGTTTCAGCAGAGACGGAGCAGCAGAGTCATCTGGCCCTGCTGTTTGTGCTGCCTGACATCTGCAGACAGCTGCCTAGTTAGCGTTGGCTATACTCACGGGGCTATACTCATGGCTCGTCAACAAACAGGGACTTCAGGACAGGGAGTTTTCAGCTCATCTTGCTCGTTTTGAATCGGTTGACATAGTATAATAATTTACTTCTTCAACGATATGATAGTTTACACTCGGTCGCCGGTATATTAGGCCCTACTAGATAAAACGAATCGCTAGAATGTGATGGATAAAATCTAAACTCGTGTTGTTTCTCTCTCTCTCCTCAGGTGTACACAGCAGCCAACCCCAATGGGACGACCGCAGGGAAAACCTTCAAGGTTCACCTACAGCTCTGGGACACAGCCGGGCAGGAGAGGTGGGCTGCTCGTCACGCTGGACTGGGTGTCCTCCTTTCCCTCGGGACTTTTACAGTTTGCAGTTACAGTTGTTAATTTTTGTATAGAATCGCTACAGCAGTGCTAGTCAACCCTGTCTTCTCTGTCATCTCTTGCAATACACTGGGGAAAGAATCATTGTGTCCAAGAGGGACATGTCATCGTGTGTCTGGCGGTGAAACTTTCCATCTCCATGAAGGAAATATATCTTTAATGGGATTAAATGTTTTTTATGTAGCAAAAACAGTCTAATTAACAGTAATTTCATCTCATATTAGGTTTTGAATGTAGCTTTAACATTATTGAAATGTTTATTAAGTGTTAATTTCAAGCGGGGCTCTGTTGTGGCACAACTTGACTTGTGGGACGTAGCTGGAAACTAAGGGAAACGTGGCTTTAACTGGCTTTAACCCCAATGCAAAATGTCTCTCACGGCAAATCAAGTTTTGACAAGAGACGGTGAATGATAAAGCTCATTGCTGAAATCGATCATGTATAATCACACTGAAGGGGTCGAGCGAGAAACAACAGATCGGTATCTGTGTGTGTCTATGCGCCTCTTTGCCTGTTTATACAGCATGTGTCAATCGTGTGTGTGTGTGTGCGTGTGTGTGGTCTTTAATTGGAACTGGCCTCGATCTGTTGAACATGTTTGTAAAGGCCTGATGACTCATTGCAGGATGAGTCAGTGTTAGTTACATAATTCTAACTTCATTTCTTCAGCTCAGTGTAACGGAACAAATTCCTCTTTTCATAAACTGATCTTCGTGATCCTCTAATGGAGCACCCACTGCAGGCGTCATTCCACTTGTGTGATTAGTTCGTCAGACTGTTTGCTGTGAGAACACCCTGATATCTGCTGCTTTTATCCTGATGTTTGCGTATATTACACATTTGCTGAATAGTTATTAATGTTTACACAGAGTAATGTTCCTTGGTCCTGGTGTCACACCCAGAAGCCTAGCATGCCACAGAACATACATTACATAACTGTTTTTATCAATTAAGACTTATGTCTGAATATTAGCAATATTAGCTTTTATTTTGGAGTCTTGTTTGCGTCCACCTGATGAATGTAAGTCCAATATTCACTCTGTTGTTAGATCTGTCTTTGGTATCCTCCAACTCTTTAGCTGCTAAATGCTCCACTATGCTACACAGCTGGTCTCTAACTATCTGTATGGTGCTGAGCAGCTAGTGTACAGCGGGTTTTAAAACTTTGCTGCTGCTGAAAACGAGGCTGATCAGAGTGGTGAGAGGAAACCAAAACAGCAAAGTTGTGGGTTGGTTAAACTACGCTGAGCAGAGCAGCAGTCAGCTGATAATTCTCTGTGGGTTCATTACTAAGAGTAACACACAGTCATTTGTTTTCTTGTTGATATCAAAATATGAATTTATTGCAGCTTTAGGTCAAAAGGTATTTTTGTTAAGTCCACCTTTCACTCAAAAATGTGTTTTGCTTATTGTGACTTCACTTGGAGGTTTGACTTTGTAGAAGGATGTGAAACTGTTTTCACAGTCATATCTGAAAAAGGAAAGTGTCTTTCTGCTCACCTTCAATCAACATCTTGTGTCCAAAAGTTACCCTTTTGAAATGAGTAATATTTGCATATTCATAGATTCTGGATTTTTTTTTAGTGAGGTAGAAGGAATAAGGTAGTGAGTTAATTGTGGAAGAACAATATGAAACACACAGGATTATTATAATTAGAGTATCTTTCTTTTTTATCTTAAATGTCACAAAACAACATGTCTGGAGGGGAACTTTAAACAAGAGATGTCAGACAATCTAAAACTAAAAGACACACTAAAAACATTGTTGTTGGCCTTAATATCTTAATTTTAAATTCTCAAAATTATAATATTTCAGAGATTTTTTTTGTGTTTTTCAGTTCACTTTCTATATTGTAGTATTTCATTACTGTGAGGGGAACCACAGAGTTCAGCTCAGTCTTCAGATCTCAGCTGTGGTGTTCATTGTTTTCTTTTGGTGCGTGTGTTCCAGGTTCCGCAGCCTGACAACTGCGTTCTTCAGGGATGCCATGGGGTTCCTGCTGATGTTTGATCTCACCAGCCAGCAGAGCTTCCTCAATGTCAGAAACTGGATGAGTACGTTTCTACCCTCACACATTTTCTTTGTGTGTTCAGAAATCTGCGTTGTTTTAGCTTGAGGTATGATTCGTCTATCAAAGCATCCCTCTACGGTGCCGTCTTCTCTTTTATTCAAGCTCCCCCAGATACACCTGTCACACATTCAGCTGTACAAAGATACAGTTTTTCTGTTCTACATTTGCACCTCATTTGTTGTATATTTGTATTCATTTCCAGGCCAGCTACAGGCCAATGCCTACTGTGAGAATCCAGATATTGTGTTGGTAGGAAACAAGGCCGACCTGGCCGACCAGCGGGAGGTTCAGGAGAAACAGGCCAAGGAGCTGGCTGATAAATACGGGTAGGTTTTTTACATCTTATACTCTTCATAATAATAATAATAAATCAATTTTCTATAGCGCTTTTCTAGATACTCAAAGACGCTTTACAAGGCAGAGACAAACGGAACAAAAAAATAAATTAATTTAATTTAAAAAAAATAACTGGAGAAGCTGTGCTGAATGGATCATGTAATGGAGGGTAGGGTGCCGGGGTTAGCAGGTGAAGGCGAGTTTGAAGAGGTGGGTTTTGAGGGCTTGTTTGAATGATGATAGGGAGGAAGCCTCACGGATGTGGATGGGGAGGGAGTTCCAGAGGGGAGGTGCAGCAGCTGAGAAGGCCCTGTCACCCCAGGTCCGGCCCTTGGTTCTGATGGTCTTCAGAGTGTTTTCACCGGCGGACCTGAGGCAACGGGTTGGGGCGTGGAGGGGGAGGAGGTCTGAAAGGTAGGGAGGGGCCAGGTTGTTTAGGGCTTTGTAGGTGGTGAGTAGTATTTTGAAGTCTATTCTGAATTTGACCGGGAGCCAGTGGAGGTTGCGAAGGACCGGGGTGATGTGATCATAGCGGCGGGTGGAAGTGAGCAGTCGAGCGGCAGAGTTCTGAACATATTGGAGTTTGTTGAGGATTTTGTTGGGAGAACCGGAGAGGATGCTGTTGCAGTAGTCTAGTCTGGAGGTTATGAGGGCATGGATGAGAATTTCGGTGGTGGCAGAGGACGGGGAGGGTCTGAGGCGTGCAATGTTCCTGAGGTGCAAGAAGGCAGTTTTGGTGATGTGGTTGGCGTGGGGTAGAAAAGAGAGGGTGGAGTCGAGGATGATACCGAGGTTGCGGACCTGGGTGGAGGGGGTGACGATGGAGCCATCAATGTTGAGGGAGAAGGACTGGGCTGAACGGGTGAGGGAGTTGGGGCCGATGATGAGTATTTCAGATTTGTTGCAGTTGAGTTTGAGAAAGTTCTGTTGCATCCATGATTTTATATCAGTGAGACAGGTGGTGAGAGTGGAGTGGGTGACAGAGGTGATGGTCTTGGTGGAGAAGTAGAGTTGGGTATCGTCAGCATAGCAGTGGAAGTTGAGACCATGACGACGGATGATTTGTCCAAGGGGAAGGATGTAAATGATGAAGAAGAGGGGACCAAGCACGGAATCTTGGGGGACACCGTGGATGACTGGGGAGGTGGAGGATTTACAGTTGTTTATTGCAATGAATTGATGCCGGTCTGAGAGGTATGAGGTGAACCAGGAGAGGGCAGTGCCAAGGGAGTACTGGAGACGTGAGAGGAGGATGGAGGAGGATGGAGTGGTTGATAGTGTAGGCGGTGCTGAGGCCAAGGAGGATGAGGATGGTGAGGAATCCAGAGTCAGCAGAGAGTATGTCATTTGTGATTTTTCAGTAGGGCGGTTTCTGTGCTGTGTTTTGAACGGAAGCCGGATTGGAAGGGTTCTTAGAGATTATGGAGATTGAGATGGGACTTGAGTTGTGATGCAACAGCTCTCTCAAGGACTTTGGACAGGTAGGGGAGGTTGGAGATGGGCCAGTAGTTGTTGGGGATGTCGGGGTCAAGACCAGGTTTTTTCAGCACGGGGGTGACAGCAGCGATCTTGAGTGTGGGGGGTATGAGACCTGAAGACAGTGAGGAGTTGATGTTGGTGATGAGAGAGGAGAGTGTGGGGAGGCAGGCCTTGACTAAGGAAGAGGGGAGGGGGTCAAGGGCACAGGTGGCACAGTTATACAAACTGCGACTGCCTACAGGGCCTTAACTTTCAAATTACACACGTGACTCTTCTTCCTGTGCTTCTTCTTGTTATTATCTATGCATTATCTGTAACGGCCAATCCTTAGAGGGTTGTGGGGGGGGCTCGACCTGAAACCCAGCTGACATTGGACGAGAGGCGGGGTACATCCTGAACAGGTTTTTTAATATTGCATTATAACTGTAATACAGTAAACACACAATAAAGAGCAGGCCAACTGTAAGACGAGCAGTGAAACGGGACACAACAGTGCAGAGCAGCACTCAACAAATGACTTCCTGTTAGACAAGGTAAAAAAACAAACGTTTCCTGGTGTCATTCCAGCCAGCCAAGACCTCGGTCTGGTGTTAACTGGCCTGTTCCAGGAAGTGAACAAATCTGTCTTAAACTCTGGGGAACTGTTTAGCATGAACAGGGCGAGGGCAATGCATGTAAGAAAGTTTAAATTTGGAGTTCTGTGTTTGTAATCCAGAGTCCACCAAAGTTTCATCACAAGTTTTTGCTTTCTTGTCCTGCGAGTTTGTTTAACCTTGTGTGAAATGTTATGATGTGAAAGAACAACCCCCTCCAGCAAACAGTCCCTGCTAGTCCCTACAAAGCCTCCTGAGGTTCATTCAGCATAAGAAATGTTGATTTTTTAAATCTATGCAGACTAATTGCTAAACTGTATAATCCGATTAATACACCAATGGCTGAATTTGGCAAATATTTGGAGGAGCACTAAAGATGAGTTCACGACCAGAGATAATTATGAAGCTTTGACAAAACAATAAATGTCCCTCGTTGCTGTCTCTTATGGACTATGCATGGATTTCCAAGTCTATCCAAGATGATTTCAATAGAAATTAAATGAAACCAATTACAAAACTGATGGGAATAATTGGGAAAACATCCAAAAAAAACCCCATCTTTTAAACAAATACTTCTGTTCTTGTTGCCCACAGGATCCCGTACTTTGAGACGAGTGCAGCGACGGGATCGGAGGTGGACAAGGCGGTGATAACTCTGTTGGACCTGGTCATGAAGAGGATGGAGCAGTGCGTCGACAAACCGCCTGCCGAGCCAGCCAATGGCAACGGGGCCACAAAGCTTGGCGAAGCGCAGCCCAATGAGAAGAAATGTGCATGCTAGATCGAGAAGAAAATGACCAGTCAGCGCTTCTGTCGTCTGTCCTTTCTACTCGCCACATTCCCTACTTCTTTTACCTTCTCCTCCTCTGTCATCTTTGATTGCATGGTTCTTCATCTATCCCCTGTTCACCCTCTTCTCTCTAAAACAAATCGTTAACCACCTTACGCTCCTCTTTTCCTTCTCCTCCCTGCTGTAGTCTTCTTTCTTCTTCCAAACTGTCTGCCAGAGGGCAGTGAAACAAGCTTGTCTCCCTCTGGTGGATATTCAAGGTAATACAAGTCTCAGCCTGTCTGCCTTTGAGCTCTGTTTAGGAGGAAATTAAAACAGGAGGGGACAGTTTCATCACTTTAAGACACATAATGTGCCTCGGCTGTCTGATCTGGGGCATGAAGAGCTTAAGGCTGTGTGTCTGTGTAAATCTGCCTCAGTCATGGTCCTCTCCTGAAACCTTTCCTCCTGGATCAGAGCGTGCAGCTGTATGACCAGTATGTTTTTTTTTGTCTACTTCACACAGTTTTTCAATGCTGTACCCGTACTAGCGATATAAGATATTTTTTCAGTGTTCCAAGCCGTTTTGTTTGGCTTGTCTGTTTGGTAAAACATGCACTAACTCGTGTTTAATATATTGGCCAGGGAGTCATGGTGGAGGTGTTTGAGTGAGGTGTGAGGTGCTGTTCCCGGTTTATTGCTCGTTTAGTTTGTTAAGCTAATGCCAGCTTGTTGGCTTCTAAAGCTAACTTTACTGTAATGCCAGCTTAATCCACAATGAGTTGTGCAGATAAATATCAAACTTTATATTAGAAACGTTAAATAGAACATAGAGATACCCCCGAAACGCAGCAGAGGAGGTTAAATAGCCTCTGTGGGGTATTTTATATTTCGTAACCAGCCTGGTCAGAGTAGATTGTTCATGGCAACTTGTTAATGATTATTATGTATTGAATATTAATCTTGACCCTCATTTTAGAAAAAAACCTTGGAATAAATGTTGATATGATAATCTCTGCTAACTGTTACGGACTTCCTGTTTGCACAAGTAATTAGCAGCTTATGTAGCTAGCTAGCCACAAACTAGCTAACATAGTGCTTAGCAGTGTTAGCAGTAGCTACGAGCGTAATGCCTTTATTAACAAAAGCAGCTGATGTTTTCACAATGTTTCACTAACGGACATGAATTAAAAATGAAAAAATGCTTTTTTTTTACCATTCTCGCCAAAACACCAACGCCTTGTTATCCAGACTAGCTTTAGCTTTCTAGGTTGCTGTGGCCGTTGAGTTTTTGCCAGACTTGGCTGATTATGATTTGCAGATAGTATACCATTCATATTGACTAATATGGGTACAGCATGACACGTGTGAAGTGGAGAGAAAAAGAAGCCTACATATGTGTATATCATTCATAGAGTGTCCTGGACCGGGATATTGTTCCAAACTGATCTACTGCCTTGGCTTTTAAAGCGTTATTCCACTGTGGCGGAACAGACTTTGATCCCTGTGGGGGTTTGAGATAAATCGGCAACAAAAATCAGCTACTCTGGTAAAGCAATGTCCCCTTTATTTGCTAACACTTATAGAAAATGAAATCATTTTAATCGAAAGCCGAAAATTATACTGGGTTTTTACAGAACAAACATGTTATGCAAGTCCAAATAAACACATTGAATAAAAAGGTTAAATGAACTTATGAGTGGAGAGGATGATTATATCTTATTAGCATCAATATGCCATTCGGGTGAGGTCAGCTTCTCGGGGCAGCTGATTTTTCATTATGACCTCTCACCTCTTTATAACAGATAATCAGACAAAGTGAAATATCGCTTTAAGGCCCCATACATGACCAATGTTGTAAGAATATAAAGTGACCAACTATTTATATGTATTAAATATAAAACATAGATTATTATTTCTGTTGCCATATTTTTGTTACATCCTTTGCACCAAGAGAAAATGATCTGAACTGCATTCATATTTGTAATTTGTTTCTTCATTGCTTTAGTGCTCTTAAGCTCGGTTGTGTTAATAACTCCAAAAAATACAAATTGATCAACAAAATGTGTCTCTGACATGAAGAAAATACACTTAGAAACTCTTGAAGAAGTACAGTAGAAGTTGTTTAATACTTTTTGGGCTTAACAATTGACGTTACTGTGGACCAATTTCTGTTGAGTGTTGTTGCTTAACACTTTGTTTTTCCATTGCATAACAGACCATATAACTGCTGCTGTGCAGAAAACCTCATGAGGGCATGGCATATCGTAAATAAAATGTTTTGTACCATGACGCTATGCTTGTGCACAGCAAAAAAAAACATCCGTCTTTAGAACCCATTTTGATCTAAATTTACAAAGAAAGAATCATTTAAATGTCAAAGAATAGCCTGAGATGATCTCTTTGTTTTAAGTGCAACTCATCAGTATTCATTATATCAAGTAACACCTCGATCTGCCTTACTTCATGAAAGATTTTGAGCGAAGTTGAAGTGCACCAGAAACGAGGGAAATGATCACTGCGCTTGCCGCCTGTTTGCAGCTAAATCCTTATTTGTATCCTTCACTGCGCTAAGGGGAGGTTTTACATAGCAGTCCCAGCTAGCAGCTGCATAATAGTAGGATTACTGCAGGTTGGTTTTCAAATTGTACTAAAACCAGGGGCTGCCCGATGGGTCAAAAGTAATGTTAAGTATACTGTGAGTGCGGCCTATTAATGGTAAAACACTGTTGTGGTCCTTTTTTAAAGATCATAGGTTGTTGAATTTTAATATTTGATTAAATCCCTTTTTATCAGTACAATTTTAGCATTGTACTCACGGGATCCCCCAAAACAATCCTAGGTTAAAGAATCATGGAGCTTTGGTTTCACCTCACCGTCGCCTATGTTTATTCTACCAGTGTGCCAAATTTTTGAAAGAGGAAGCATGACAAACAAGCGTTTGTTTTCACCAGAGCTGAACCTCATTCTGCTGTTCAGTCAGAGGAAAAACTGCCTTTACAAATAGAAAAATGTGTTTTTATTTTGTGTTGGGTTTTCGTTTGAAAGCCTAACAAAGTCGCCTGCCAGCAGCTGATCTCAGTGCCATACGAAACGCTCACCGCTGTTTGATTTTCAGTTTGTCAAAATATGAATTTGCTGTCTATGAAGACAAAAGGAGCTTGCTCACATTGTAACAATCCCATTCCATAATTGAGTTAAAGTTCCCAATAAATACTGTTTCTATCATTTTGGTTTGTTTGTTAGTCAACTTGCTTACTGTTTTTGTTCTAATCTGTAGATTTTACCTTTTTTGTTTTGGTCTTAAGTCGTGTAATTGTAATGTACAGGTTACGTATTTCTAAACACTTACAGAAGCAACATGGTGGAATCCTCTTTACATCCTCTTTAGGTTTATTTTGTTTGTTTTCTTTACTCCAACTAGTGAAGCAAGTCATGTTACAGTTAAGCAAGTGGTTCAAATTTTTTTGACAACTTTGGTGCAGTGGAACAAGCTCAGAACACAACATATCACACCTTACACACACAAACATTAACACCTTCCAGAGTTGCTAAACAATTTCATCCCGTTGGAGTAAAGTTTGAGTGCTTATTATGAATCTTATTGCAATTGTCACTCTCCTTTTAAATTTGTTTTAGTCTCCTTCAATGCCTAAGAAAAATATCTGGCTCTATAGCCGCTAAATGTTCCAGTCATGTCTCGAGCAAGATGCACATTTTGTCCGTCTGCTGTTTTGTTGCTGGACAGAGAGTGTGCAGTGGTTTGATTAACGTTTGTTTGGTGAAAACGGAAGCCTGCTGCTGCTGAATAGGGGGTTGTAACTGAAGCATACACTAAATGTGCCATAAAACCAAAACAATGAGTTAAAAGATGCTAAAAGTCTTTGTATCATGAGGAATCATTCTCACTATATGCTCACTATGAGTGCCACCTTTCACATCACACAATCAGTTGTTACAATACAAATTAGATTAATGCAGCTTTAAAATGTGTCATACATGTCTTTAAATGTCTTAAAGCTTACCAACCTTGACTACCAGTAATCAAGGTTGTCATTTCTACTCTGTTTTTTTGAAAAGTGCCCATATTTTTGGTAAAAGTATGGTTAAATCATGACTTAAAGAGAAATGACTCCGACATAAATACAATGCAGCCTTATTTATCAATATGACTGGCAAGTATTTTATTCATTTTAATAAAATTATTAATGAAACACTAAAATTGTTCCTTGAGATCTACCGGAAAACTTCGAAAATAGAGCAAGGACACAATGAACTCCTAAAACGCATCAACAATGGCAAGACATTTTGTTTTGGTGGTTTTCTTACTATTTGAGGATTGAAGTCCAAATTCTCCGTGCACCTCACCTCTAGATAGACGATGCCTTTTATTGTGACAATCTTCCAAACCAATTTGTCAGCTTATATCTAAGCTTTTCTTCTTGCGTTGCTCTTCAGATTGTCCTCTGACATTCATTTTCTCTGTCTTCAATCATGTTTTTCCAGAGAGCATCTCTTCCATACGTTTTACATGGTCTTTGGTCGTTTTTGAATTCACTTTGAAAGTTTACACAGTTTGAAGAGTCATGTTGTGCCTGTTATAAACTCTTCTGTCTGATCCTCTGTAAAGTTTATGAGCTCCTAAATATTCATGCATTATAGATTATAGATTACAAAGCAGAGGCAAAAGAGACCAGAAGTTGTGATGTTTTTGTGCTCGATATATCAAAACAACGAATCAATCCAAGTACCTCTAAGAGCTTTTATTTTTGGAAATCCTCTGTGTGAATTCTCACGGATGCCTGCGGTTTATACACGTTTCTTCAGTTTTCACTGTGTATCGATGCCTGTGAGTGGGTTTGTTGGGTTTGTTGCAACATCAGCATGTTTGACACAATAAGGATGAAATTACCTGTGATGCGTTTAATGTTTCCGATGTCAGAGCTGCAAATAAATCTGTTTGTTTTATCCTGTTTGTTTTTTTTTGACAGTCTTCTTTAGTTTTGGTTGAGATATATATATCTATCTATCTATCTCTAAAAAAAAAGATAAGCCATAATAAAGTATGTCAAAAAAGTCATGGCAATTTAGGTCGAAAGAAATCATGAAAAGTATAGTATCTTGAAAAAAAGACTACTGATAATAAATGACTGCTGAGATTGATGCTCTTTGCTCCTCTCCTCCAGGTGGAGGCGCTGGAGGACAAACAAACACAACTAGTTTATGAAGGTTTTCATGGGAACTAATTAGAATATAAAGAAGCAGTGATGAAGCTGCTGTAACATGTGAACAGGTTGTTGTGTCAGCTGTTTGTTGAACTGACTACTCATCAAGTTCAGGGTTGAGGGTGTGGCCTCTGACGGCGAGCGGGGGCAGCGGGGCCCGGCCCGGGGGCAGGACGTGGCCTCCTTGATGGGACAGGAGGGCAATCGCTCTGTTGAGGGCCCCGGTCTGCTGTGATTGGGTTTTCACCAGCACCTGGAGCCTCACAATCTCCTCCTGATCCACACGGCTCCTGTTGTCCTCCTGGAACTGTCTGCCCTGGAAACACACAAAGAGATACTTATAATAAACATGCAGTGTACAGATGGACAGACACAAACATCTGTCAGGACATCTTGGGTTTAAAATCTGACCCAGAACCTTTGTCCAATAGTCATCGGATCTGACGGACAATGGTAAAAGTGCCCAAAATATATTCATTGTTTGGGCACTTAGAGGCTGCAGAACAACCCGAAAGCGGTTGAAAATGCAACACAATATATATATATTTTTATTTGATAGTGAGAGACAGAGACAGGGGATGACATGAGGAAAAAAGGGCCCTGGACCAGACTCAAACCCCGGCCACTGCAGCAAGGACCTCAATGGTCTACGCAGTGAGCTACCAGAGTGCCTCCAATTTAATTATTTTAACTTGTTATAAATAAAGCCTCCTTTGGACAGGTGTTGTAAATTATTCGCAACAAACACTCAACACAGTGCATCTGGTCTTAATGCTGCTGTGATGTCCATATCAAATGAAATAGACGAACTAACTTACTCACAAATATGTCACACGTTATCTCCTTATATAGTGGCAACATATTAGCAGCTGCAAACCTCCACACCCAGCAGGCACGGAGCAACTTTATAATCCCACTGGGGTCAAAGTGGCTCCTCCTGCGTCTTTGAGTATGTCACAGGAGGCTGCGGGCAGGGCAACACCTCTTCCACTGGAGAGCACACACAGGCGATAGGTCAAGCTTGTCTTCCACATACCTAACCCTTATATACTGTATTCTGTCAGGTATCCTACCACTGATAGACCCTTATGATTGACGACCTAAGAAACCTTAGATCTACGAACTTAGGTTTATTTTTTATTTATTTTTTAGTTTATCATATACTGTTGTATTTCTACAATTCATTTTTGTTGCACAATTTTGAACGATGTAACAAATTTAAAATACAGGGAAGGGGGGGGGGCAGAGTTATTTTTATATCTTATGTCTTTCTTAATTGCTTTTGTTAAGTGTTATGATAAAAAAGGAATTTGATGACACTTTTAGTGCACTTTTTTTTTACACATTTTGTACTTTGCAAATTCCCAATGAATATATTTTTACAAAAAAAAAAGGCACGTTTTTGACAGGTGAAACAAACACTTTCCTACTTTCTACTAAGCTGCCGTCTTTTGCAGGCTCGGCTCTTGATTGTCTGCGTTCTAGTCCAGCAGCTTTATGTCCGCCAGTGCTGCTGATGTCTGGGCTGGGATGAAGGCTCTGCGGGTGCCGGCAGATGGTAAGTGGAGACTCTATGGTCGGTGCCGATGGCAACCACAGTGACCATGCTGAAATAGAATAGAAAGGCAGTAGACATGAACTAAACTAACCTTGAATCACTGCATGCTTCCATTGACATCATGCAAAGATTGCACAATTCATGAAACCCAAATTTATTGCATTTAATTGAGTACCATGTGGGGATTTTTATTTGTCACTGGGATGATACCGAGCAGCCCCACGGTCTGTGATTTTATTGCTTTGTGAAGTAATAAAATCACAGTTTTATTTTTGAATTGTTATTAATATTCACCTATATATGCACATAGTGAGAAGATCACTTTGTTGTGCATTTTGCGGCATATTTCTAAAAACAAGGGACACTAATCATGCATGTCATCTGGACAACCTCCACATGATGGCAGTATTGTAACTTCATTCACTTTTTATTCACTGATATATTTTTTCCACTAATGACTGTTGCTAATTGCAACAGCTTAGTACCACAGTCACATATTTATATCAGTGTTAGCTGAATACTTGAAAGGCTAAATTATAGTTCATAAGAGGAATAATACAGCATTCATTTTACTGACTACACAACAGCTACAAACAATGCAAGCTTATAGTTATTTATTTTCTTACAAACGGCTTTGTATACATTAAGTATGAATTCATCAGAAATCAATTCAATGTACCCTCTTGGTGACTGTTAATGAATTTTACATTCAAACAAATGACACAACTGTGGAGCTCTGAAACACATAGAAACTGTGCCAACTGTGATTTATAATAATTATGATTTCATACACTGGTGCTGTGCATAGTTAGCTTGTTAGCACAACCAGTAGGAGCATCTAGAGATGCTATAGATTACGCCTGCTTAATTTAGCTTTTCAAAGTTAATTCTGTGATACAGAATGTCGTGTGCCGCTTGTAAATTAAAGCTTTCCTCAACTTTAGTGAACGGACAAATTATTAAATGCAAAAGAGCCACAGTTATTAATAAAAGAGGCAGTTGCAGCCTTAAAACATTCCTCTTTTCAGCCATGACAGCTGGATTTTGTATCATTTCCGGGCAGGAAAGGAAGCGAACCACACAACATTGTTGTCAAATCGTGAACATATATATATATATATATATATATATATATATACATTTTTTTCTGGTAATGACGAAGATGAATTGTTTCTAAATGTTCTTTAAAACCTCACCTAACACGTTGAATTAAATTATGTTGAATACTACAACTAAAAGTCCAAAATGTCCCACATGGGGAAGGAGATACTATTTGCTCACTTCTTCAGTGCAGCTATTCACAATCGCCACTAGGGGGTGCTAAAGGCCATACAACATAAACCAATACACCGACTCCAGTACAGTGACTCAGATCAAACGGTTCATCACCTGTATGGAGAATGAAATGACCCCAACTTCTACTACTCTGGAGTCCAGGAATTCAATTAAACACTGTGCAACATTTTAATTGAAACTAACTGGTGGTCAAATTCATAGCTGCTAAACATCAGTATCCATTATTACAAAATGGAAAGAATATGACACCAAAACAAACCTTAAAGAGAGGACTAAAGCCAGAGGACCAGCCAATCAGAGAGGCAATAAAGAGTCTAAAGATGACCGTTAAAGAGCTGGAAAAGTCCACAGGGAGGATTCGAGTTTCTGTCCACAGGAGCACTTCAAGCCGTTCGGTTTATTTGGTTGTTGTAAAAAGATAGAAAAGCTACAGAGCGTTTAAATTAGCATATGCAGCTAGTGACATATAACACTGTCACTACACAAGTCCTGTTTCCCAAATGGAGTATTTCTTCTTCTTTGTGTTGTTGAACAGCAGTTAGCATCCAGCTGATGCGAAATTCAGATTGTGACGTCATTATTAATTAAC